CGAAGTATACAAGAGGTTGTATTCGATAAGGAGCTATCTACTCTGCTTACGTGGTGTTTATTTACTTATCGGAGAAAGGTTATGCCGGAGTATCTAAGCGCGTTGTCTGAGCGCGTTGTCTGAGCGTGCTGTCTGAGCGCTGCTCGGTCTGAACGTAGTGCAGATGGTGCGCGCGCAGCTTGGCCCGAGATTCCATCGAGGAGCTATCCAAAGGGCGTTCAGCCCGTTACATAATTAGTTTATTATTATGTTAGGCTAATATAAATCTAGAATAGAGAGCTTTAGAATAAGCTATGAATTCTTAATTTAGTAAGTATTAGTTACGTAAACTAAGAATAAATAGGCTAGTTACTAGAGCTCTACCTTAGAATCGTTGTTCTTAATTTACTCCACTAATACGTACCTAATTAGAAAGTTTAGTAGCTTATTTTAAGACTCTCTATTAGGGCTTTATTTTAACTTATTATAGCACTTATTATAGCAATAGGCTAGCTATACTAAGTAAGAAGATATTTAGGATTAGAGTAAAATATAGAGACCTAACTCTTAGCAAGATAGATAGGCGAATAACTTCTTATCTATTAGAGTTAGCCTATTACTATATTAGGTAGAAATAATGTTTAGATTAAGAGCTATAAAATACGCTGCTAAGCTTCTAAATTAGGAAACTATTAGTAGAGTAAATTAAGAACAACAATGCTAAGGTAGAGACCTAACTTGCTATACTAAGAATAATAATCTTAAGATGAATATCTATTTAACTACGTATTTTACTACTAAAGATTTATACGTTAATAACTAAAGCTATACTATAAAATCTTAGTTATTATAATAATAAATAGTTCTATTCTATTATAAAACTATTAGATAGCTATAGAATATTTCTAATTAACTATCTAATTGTGAGACGTTTCAGGGTTATTAGGCACGGGTAGAGTAAAACAATAGTAGTGTTAAGTAAACAGTCTATATTACACGTAGACGAACAGCTACTAAGCTTAGATAGTGTTCTCTATGCTTATATTTATTTTGATAAGTCAGATATGACTAAGATAGGCTAACAAGGGCCAGATTGGCCCTAGATGGTGCAAGGCTGCCCAAGGAGGGTGAGCTCTTGACACTAATGTCTATTATATCTTATAATAGAGCTTATAAATAGACATCTTAAATAATACTAACAAGCTAGTAGACTACTAGTGTATTACCTATAGAGATAGCTTTCTTTAAAATCTTATGTTATACTTTTAATAATTCAACTATAACTTAATTTATATATTTTACTTAACACTAGATTAAACTATTATGTAATTACTATAATATGAAATCAAGATTAAAATAGAGTATTTATTATATAAGAATATATCAGATTTTTATATATATAGTTTAAATAGTAAAACTATAATCTAATCTCTATCTATTAGCTAGCTTAGTGAAAACTTATACACCAAATCTAGATTTTTATTTATAACTTAGTACTATAACTATACAAGATAATTTGTTAAGATGTTTAGCCCTAAAGAATATATAGATAGCTAAAGAATATTTATAAAGTCTAAGAAGTATTAATTATTTTTATAAATAAATCTATTAGCTATACGTTATAACTATGTTCTTATATTAATTAATATTTAATCTTTAAGATTAATAGACTAGTATAGTTTACAGCTATTTTCTTCTATTAGTATCTACTAAATTCCTTCTATGCTGATTAAATCTTTTAGAAAGGTACTGACTTTAAATATTCTAAAGAATAGAGGCGTGTTTGAGAACTCGAGTCCGCTCCGCATGATCTAGCTTGCCGCCTTCTCACCGGAGCTCTCAGCTCCAAAGTTCGAAGGTGGCAACGCCGTGGCGCAAAGTCAGCTTACCATAGGACAGGCTAGGCGAGTTCTCTGAGCGAATATGTATAGCTGTACTTTGGCTGGACGTCAGCTGGAGGCTTGCGTACGGGCTAGTGTTTTCGGCACTTCACTAGGCGAATCTTCTAAACCAATATGTACATACGGGATTCGCCCGAGCCGTTATCCATGGGGCACATACATTGTGTTGCTATGCCTAATTGGGCCTCGCTCCATCAGCCTATCATCGAGATATCTAACTCACCCTGCGCTGTCTTCGTTTCAATTCTACCACGCGCGTAACGCTGGAACCGTCTCCAATCCACTTGGTTGGATTCAATCGTGGACCCTGACGCCACCGCTGTGGCGCAACAAGGAAGCAAATCTCCGCAAGGAACTGCCCGCATTGCCTTCACGATGCTAACTCGAATCCGAAAGGTCGAGGATAGCACTTCTTCAGGTCCAGGTTAAATATCTGGTTATAAAATCAGGTATGTGCCTCAGACACTTCCAGCAGAGACGAAAGTTCTCGAGTGACTTCCCAATCCAATTTCGTTTACTCTTGGCTTTTCTTGTACAGCAATTTAATATGCCTTTCCTTGGCTCCTCTCCAGACCTATCCCCTAGTGGGTCAGGCACACGATCCGAGTATGACGCATCTCAGAAATCTCAGCGTATTATCAAAGACGATGATTATGCTATCAAGATGCTTCATAACAGCAAAGAAAAGCCACTAAGCCAACAACTTGAGCCCATTGCTGTAGTAGGAATGGGTACGTGATGATATTCATGAATGGGTCGGTCACAATGCTGATATCTCTACTAGGATGTCACCTACCTGGCAATGTGCGGTCGGCATCGGACTTTTGGGATATGATGATGTCGAATAGGTCAGGGCAAACGCCCAAAGTTCCAAAGAGTCGATTCAATATCGACGCACACATCCATTCAAACAACGATCGGCCTGGTAGCTTCAACATGTTGGGAGGTTATTTTCTGGATGAAACCCTCCGTGAATTTGATCCTTCGTTCTTCGGGATAACTCCAATCGAAGCTATGTGGATGGACCCCCAACAACGTAAGTTGTTGGAGGTGGTATACGAGTCCCTCGAATCAGCTGGAGTTACACTTGAAGATATTGCAGGAACGAACACAGCAGTATTTGCAGCTTGCTTCGCAGCTGACTTCCAACAAATGTGCTTCAAGGAGCCTGCTTTTCGCCATTCTCTTGCCGCTACCGGTGTCGATCCAGGAATTCTGAGTAATCGAATCAGCCATGTCTTTAACTTGAGAGGACCATCTATCGTTGTTAATACCGCTTGCTCTTCTAGCGTGTACGCTTTGCACAACGCTTCTAACGCTCTAAGAAATGGCGAGTGTGTCGCTGCAATCGTTGCTGGCGTGAATCTAGTCTTGGCTGTCGATCAGCACATGAACACCGCGAAGCTTGGTGTGCTATCACCAACCTCAACGTGTCATACCTTCGATGAATCCGCAGATGGCTATGGTCGCGCTGAAGGAGTTGGATCGGTATATCTCAAACGCCTCAGTGATGCCATTCGTGATGGCGATCCCATCCGCGGCGTCATTCGATCAAGCGCCACCAACAACAATGGGCGCGTGCCTGCTGTTGGCATTACACATCCCAATCTAGAAGGACAAGCTGAAGTCATATCTGCAGCTTATAATCGTGGAGGCGACCTTGATCCGCGATTGACGGGATACTTCGAATGTCACGGCACAGGCACAGCTGTTGGTGACCCGCTTGAAGTACGCGCTGTGTCTCTTGCTATGAACCAATTCAGGCAGCAAATTGACGAGCCTCTAATGATCGGGGCTGTCAAGACTAATATTGGGCATAGCTAGGCAGCTTCAGGGCTGTCTGCATTGATCAAAGGCATTTTGACTGTAGAGAGAGGCATGATACCACCCACACACGGTCTTGTAAAGCCGAATCCTGCCATTCAATGGAAAGAATGGAAGGTCACAGTACCAATGGTACCCTCGCCATTCCCAACCTTGTCTCTCAAGCGAGTCAGCATCAACTCTTTCGGTTATGGAGGAACCAATGCACATGTTGTCGTTGAGAGCGCAGACTCTCTCCTCGTGGAGAAGCAATCCTACAAGTATTTTACCAATACTGGGAAAACAAAAAAATCACCAAGAGGAGCGTTCAATCGTAGTCGGGCCCACCTTCTTCTTTTTTCGGCTCATGACAAGTCAGCGCTGCAGAGAAATTTCGCTGCTCATAGCGAAGTTGCCCAGAACTACGAGCTCTTAGACTTGGCTTATACGTTAGGCAACCGACGTACAGAATTTGCTAGCCGTGGTTACACAGTTGTCAGTCTGACGACACAACGTAAGACCAATTTGGGCGACTTGGTCGCTGCCGAAAACAAGAAAACATCAGCGGTCGGCTTTGTCTTCACAGGACAAGGCGCACAATGGGCCCGCATGGGCGCGGAACTAATGACCTATTACCCAAGTTTTCTCCACAGCATTCGAATGCTGGACATGGCTTTGGACGAACTTGTAGACGCGCCAGATTGGACTATTGAGGACACCCTTCTCCTTCCGGATGACATTTCCCCAGTCGGTGAAGCCGAATATGCCCAGCCGCTCACTACAGCTGTCCAGATCGCTCTCGTACAGCTGCTTAGGCTCTGGAATATCATTCCTACAGTCACAGTGGGCCATTCGTCAGGTGAGATTGCGGCCGCTTATGCTGCCGGATATATCTCTGCCTCGCAAGCGATTGTATTTGCGTACTACCGCGGACTTGTCGTTCGAGACGTCAGCAATGAAGGCGCGATGCTTGCTGTTGGCCTCGGTGCTGAAGCAGTTGAGCCGTACCTGGTCGAATCGAGGGGCAAGGTCCTTGTGGCCTGCCACAACTCCCCAGCTGGGGTCACTCTATCGGGAGACGCCCCTACAATTGTTGAGCTTGAGAAGAAGCTTAGTGCAGACAATGTGTTTGCGCGACAAGTGAAGACAGGAGGCAAGGCGTACCACTCTCATCACATGGAGCCCGTTTCAATGAAGTATGAGGACCTCATTCGTCGCGCTAGAGAAACGTCTATGCAATTGGACATTCCGCTCAGTACCAGCGCTAAGATGGTATCTTCCGTCACAAGCAGTGTACTTTCAAAAGATGCAATTTTGGACGAAGTCTATTTCAGCAAGAACCTAAGGGAGCCCGTACGTTTCAATCAAGCTGTGCAGTCAATTTTTACCGACGCGATATTTGCGGATGTCAACACATTGATTGAGATTGGTCCACACAGTGCTATGGCCGGGCCAATCCGTCAGATCAAGGCGGCTTTGGGTCTATCTCAGCTGGAGTATCTGCCGTCCTTGCTCCGTGGTCAAGATTCTGCGTCGCAGATGTTGAAGCTTGCAGGAGAGCTTTTCTTGCGAGATTATCCTCTAGATATTGCAACGATCACCGCGGAGGAGAAATCTAGCACGAATGGTAAAATCGACTTCAACCACGGTCACCTGATAGTCGACCTTCCGCCTTATCAATGGGCCAAGAAAGAGTATTGGGCTGAAGCGCGACACAGTGACGAGCTTCGTAATTCAGAGTATCCACGTCATGATCTTCTCGGCTCCATGCTCTCAGGGGGGTCCTTATCAGAACCAACATGGCGCAACGTGCTTCGCATTCGGGATGTGCCATGGCTAGTAGACCACTCCTTGGGCGGGGAGGCAGTTTTTCCAGCTGCTGCATATTTCTCAATGGCCATGGAAGCAATAACACAGCTTATTGAGACTCGTGGTGAAAACATTCACATCGCCAACTACACCCTCCGGGATGTGACGATCAAAAAAGCCCTAGTCACTCCAGACGATGATATCGGTATCGAGGTACTATTTAGCATGCGACGCTCAAACCATCTAGAAGACGAGGGGCAATGCACTTGGTGGGACTTCAACGTGTCTTCCGTCAATCAAGATGGGCAGACAAACGATCACATGAGTGGCAGCATCGCAATCAATGCACGCACAGAGCGTCCCGAACCAAAGCCATCCCGTCATCTTCCCCAGCGAGCGTCTGGGAGAGAATGGAATCGAGCACTGCGCTCGGTAGGATTCAATTACGGTCCAAAATTCGCTGACATGACCGACATTGAGTTCAATGGCGTTGACCTCATCTGCCAGAGCAAGACGCAAGTCAAAAAGGTGGCTGGAAACATGATGGGCGAATCTCGTCATGTAATTCACCCGGGGACCGTTGATTCATGCCTCCAATTGATGATTGCGAGTATCTTTGCTGGAAGAACACAAGCAATGTCTGCAGCGGTTGCACCCACTCAGGTAGACGAGGTTTCTATCTGGCCACCCACAAAGGACCAGCTGGGTAGAGCATTCGTAACTGCCTGGACAGACGAGCGCGGATTGCGATCGGTTGTCTGTAGTAACCAGCTGGTAGCAAACAACGGTCAAGTCTTGATGGAGATGAGCAATATTCGCGGCACTCTTTACGAGGCAGCTGTTCCGCAGTCATCCATGGCTAGTATGAAGTCAATGCCCTATGGTAAGATGACATGGAAGGTCGATATTGATTCGCTGAGAACCATTGAGAGTGTGGAGAAGTGTATCGAACTTGCTCATTTCAAGGATCCTACTGCCAAAATACTGGATGCTACGGGGTCTTTACACCTAAATGCTTTGGGAAAATTCCCAGAACTGGACTACACAGCCATCATGCCCGATGCTGACGCCAAAAGAAATGAAATCAGTCACTTCAAGAATGCTAAGGTTGTCACAGCTAATGCCAGTACTAGTCTTCTTGATCAAGGCTTCCAAAGATCGGCATATCGCGCAGTCATCGCTCTAAAAGACAATGCCAGTATTCATGAGCTTTCTCAAATGCTCTCTCCAGATGGCAAGCTTCTCTTGGAGTTGGAAGATGGTGTGGTGGTCAATCAGATAAGCCCACCGAAGAATGAAGAGAAGGCATCAAAGGGGACCGTGCAAATAGTCCACCTTGAGACCGACACAACCATACTGGAAACAATGCAAAGGTATGTTCTCAATATTTTTCACACTTACTGCCCTTTCTAACCTCAACAGATCTCTTGCTCAACTAGGCTACGCCTCCACATCTATAGCACTTACCAGTATCGAAGATGTTGGCGCTCACGTCATTGTGCTGGACCTGTCGAAATCCATGCTTGCCAATTTGACACAGCCCGAGTTTGAGGCTATTCAAAAGGTTCTCAATTCGGCCCAAACACTGCTGTGGGCTACTTCTGGAGGTCTCTTGGATGGGGTGATTCCAGAGGCAGGCATGGCAGCGGGTCTTTTGAGAGTCATTCGAGCTGAGCAAGCCAGCATCAATGTTGTAACTGTTGATTTCAACCCTGATAATACCACAACTGCTCAAGTTGCAGAAAGGGTTGCGGCAAACGTTGCTCGCCAGATTGAGGACCCCACTAGCATCGAGCACGAGTATTGCATTTCAGGTGGTCAGGCCTACATCAGTCGACTGGAACCGAACGAGGAAGTCAACGCTATCGAGACGCTTGACAAGCAAGGACCACAAGAAATCTTACTCAATCCGAATATGCGCCTCAAAGGCGATGTCCGATCAGGGCAATTGATCTTCAATTGCATTGATGAGCAGCCTACAGTCGCTTCCGACGCTGTCGAGGTAGCTGTGGCCATGACGGGCTTGAATAAGGAAGGTGTTCGGGCGATCAATGGGACTGATACCAACACAATCTTTAGTCATGAGATCGGCGGTATCGTTCAGCGTGTTGGCGATTCTATACAAGACTTTGATGTAGGCGATCGCGTCATTGGCTTCAGCTTTGATCACCTTAGCACTCACCAAGTGGTGCCTGCAAAAATGTTACAAAAGCTTCGGAAAGGAGAGTCAATACTAGAGATGGTTGGTTTACCTATGCCGTATACCACTGCACTCTATGGGTTGAAGACTTTGGCCGCTGTCCGGCGAGATGAAAGAGTTCTCATCCTCGAAGGCACCGCTCTTGTATCTCGGGCAGCTATTGAAGTTTTGCATCTGTTGGGTGCTATCCCATACGTTGCGACTTCAAGTCCAGAAGAAGCCGAATGTATCACTAAGCATTTCAAACTCGGCCGCGATCAGGTTTTCGCATCCGAGGAGGAGTTGCTTATTTTCCTGCACCGCTATAGCCATGGAACCAATTTAGACGTTGTCTTTAGCTCTGCGGCGACGTCCGAGACCACCGCTCGCGAAGCCTGGCGTACCATATCAGCATCCGGTCGCTTCGTTACCTATGGCAAGAAAAGCGCGCACAGGCGTACCGCCGTTGATCCGGTACCTTTCTCTCGAGGTTCCAGCTACTTTTCTTACGACATCGTTGATCTATACAAGCAAAATCCAGCGGTCGTGTCCAGTCTTCTCGCGGAAACAATCAAATTCTATCGCAAGGGCCACATTGTAGTCCCACAGAACCTCAAGGTCAGCAACATCGCGGAAGTAGATGAAGCAGTCAGTGAATTCCAGGACAATCTCCAAGCTAGCAAGACAGTGCTTGAGTATAAGCCCTCCAAAAGGCCTGTAAAAGTTCTGCGAGTTGCTACTCAATCCAAGCTTGACCCTGAAGGCACTTACTTGCTTGTCGGATGCTTGGGTGGACTCGGACGCAGCCTGACGATGTGGATGATGAAGAAAGGAGCTCGGAATTTCTGCTTCTTGTCCCGTTCGGGTGCCGACGCCTGGGATTCTGCTCAGCTGGTCAAAGATCTCGAGGCGGCTGGTGCGGTTACCAAGATTGTAAGAGGAGATGTCTCCGTTCGTGCAGACGTTCAACGAGCGGTTTCAGAGATATCTGCTCATCATCCGATTAAGGGAGTTGTTCATGCCGCTATGGTTCTCAGGGTGGGTTTTATAAAATGTTCTCGCTCTCAATCTTGGTGGTTTCTAACAAACATTTTACAGGACGGGGTCTTTGCCAAAATGGATTTCCAAGATTGGCAAATGTCCATCAAACCCAAGGTACACGGTGCAAGCAATCTCCAAGCTGTGCTCGGAAGCACCCCTCTCGACTTTTGGCTGATGACCAGTTCCGTGTCTGGAATTCTCGGAACACCAGGTCAAGCCAACTACGCAGCTGGTAATGCATACATGGATGCGCTCGCTAGCCACCGTCGCAGTCTTGGTTTGCCCGCTTGCGCTGCTATCATCCCTATGGTGCTTGGTGTCGGGGTTGTAGCTGAGAATACCAAACTCGAAGCATCACTGACCCGCAAGGGCATGTATGGTATTGATGAAGAGCACCTCTTACGATCCCTGGAACTCGCCATTGGTATGCAAAAGGCTGGTGAGAACAGCAATGCTATCGATCACTTGGTCATCGGTCTCGATCCTGCTATGCTCTCGCAAGCAGTCCAAGATGCCGGCAATGCCGAGCCCTTCTACATGGCCGATGAGCGCTTCCGCACCCTAGTTCACAATATGAGCGGCAGTACGGCGATGGGTGTCGATGCTGGTGCGAATGTTTTGGCTTCCATGCTCATGGCAGGCACGCCGACCGAAGCTGTACAGATGGCTCGTGATCATATCGTCAACAAATTGTCGCGCATGTTGTTACTTGACATTGATGTTTTCGAGAGCGACGGTCGTTCGATTGCGAGCTACGGTATTGACAGCATGATTGGTGCGGATTTACGCAACTGGATTTTCAAAGAATTTGCGATGGATATTCCATTCCAACAGCTTTTGAGCCCGGCGCTAACAACGGTAATGTTAGCATATCGAGTTTGTGTTAAGCATTGTATCTTAGAGCACAAGTAAAGAAATAATCGTATTCTTCTAATAACGAAATTAGAAGTATTTTACTTAACCTTTGATTCTTTAACTACTATATAGTAAATAAAAGTAAAAACATTTTAAAGTCTAATTATTGAATCTTGAATAAAACATAATTGAATAAGCAAATAATTCTTTATAGTATATATTATAAGATTATAACGTGTCTTATAGATTCGTCTATTATATAGGTTTGTGCATTACATTTGCTAATACCCTACCAAAACACCTACTATACCTAAGTATTATAAAAATAATACTTTTTCGAGCTCTCTAGTAAATATCAAATATAGTTTACTATCTAAGCTTTTAAATAAGATATTTATCTCTTGATATAATATGCTATAGCTATCTTTAAGATAGCTTAATAAAATAATAAGCTAATAATATAAAGAATAGACTCTATAAATAAATCACTAGCTTAAAACTATAAGTTTAACTAAGCTAAAGAAGATAATAGTTATTAAGTATTTACTTAACGTTAATTTATATAAATTTCTATCTAAGTTTATAAATATACCTAATATAGCTATTTTTTGATATATAAAGTATAATTTACACTATATTTACTAAAACTAGTTAAGTATATTTATTAAGCGCTACTCTAAGGTTAAAAGAAAATTTTATTATAGGTATAACCATAAGAGAACTCTTTATAAGAATTATAAAACTACTTAAGACTAGTTTAGTTTAGTAGCTAATATAAAAGCTAAGTAAAAGATTTTATATAATAATATATATAACTTTTATAGAATAAACTTTAAATTAAACTAAAAATATTAAGACCTATTATTATAGCTTTAGAGAGACGTAGAAAAACTAAAACTATATAGCTTAGTAATAAAGAGTAAACTATAACTAGATAAAGAATTTTACTTTATATTATTCTTAAGGCGCGTTATTATCTTTTCAGCTAGTATAAGAATAATAATATACTATAGACCTAAGTTATTAAAGTCTTTAAGAATAGCTGAATAAGAAATAAGCTTAGTTTTATATAACTAAAGTACTTTAATTTAGGCTAGTAAACGGGTCTCCACATTAGGATCTCTTTTTCTTAAATAGCTCTACTAATTCTTACCTAATTAGAAAGCTTAGTACCTTATTTTGTAGCCCTAAGTTAGAGCTTTATTTTCGTCTAGAATAGTAGTAGGCTAACTTAAATAGGTAAGACGTTATTTAAGATCGGAGTAAAATATAGAGACCTAACTCTTAGCACGACGGGTTACTAAATATCTTCTTACCTATTTAAGTAAGCCTATTACTAAATAGGGTAAAAAAGAGCTTAGATTAAGGGCTATAAATAAAGTACTAAACTTTCTAATAAGGTAAGTATTAGTAGAGATAATAAAGAAAAACGATCCTAAGGTAGAGACCTAACTCACTAGCCTACTTTAATTACTATATAAAGATTATAAGTAACTAAATACTTATTTATAATAGCTATAAAAGCTATAACTTACTTAATTTCTATAAATCTTATAACTATAGTATTAGTATTATTATTTATATATTTTTATACTTATTATAATAGCTTAGTGCCTATTTCTATCTATGTCTAAATAGAATCTAAGCTAGAATGCGATTTAGTCTAGTAGAAAAATAACTATATAAATCTAACCTCTATAAGAACGAAGTAGATAGATTTTTAATATTCTTCTATATAAGGCCTATAAGTATTAATTTAAATTAAGACTTATTTTATAATTTACGTACTTCTATATACCTCTAAGTAATATTACTACTAATACTAATCTAAGTAGTCTTTTCTAGAATATTATATTATATTTAAAATCTTACTATAGCTAGTAATAGTATTTTAATAATATTATAACTATTATTTAAGACTATATCTAAGTCTAAGTCTATCTAGAATAGTTTTAGATACTTATACTATTATATCTAACGTTTATATAGATAGAATCTCTTTAATTCTTTATTTACTAAAGAATTAAAGTTTAGAATTTCTACTCTATATAAGTTAGATTAACTTTAGAAAAGTTACTAAGAGTACGCTAAGATAGAGATATAGAAACTACTAAGAATCTATTAACTAAGAAATTAATTACTATAGTTAAGTAAATTACTACTATTTCTATAGAGTTATTAAGAAGAATAACTTAATAGTAAATCTAGAAACTCTAATAGTTTCTCTTTAGGCTAAAATTAATAGACTAAACGTATAACGTATTTTACTACTAAGCGGCGCACTCTACTAAGCGGCGTAGTCTCCTTACTAAAATAACTTTATAATACTTCTTACGTAATACTACTATAATTTTTATTATTAAGTAGAATAAGATATTATTTAATAGACTTATTACTATTCTCTATATTCTCTAATTCTACTTAGTAAGTGCAAAAGTTATATCTAGTTTAGCTATAACGCCTATAGTGCCGTTTACTACGCACTCTCTTTAGAGACGTTATACTATTATTATACCTACTACTCTCTACCTTAGTAATCTAATTAGCTATCTAGCTAACTATCTAGAACCTTTTTATCTATAGATAGTACCTTTTATAAGTTTTTTACTTTATTACTTTAGTAAATATAGCTTTAAGGCGATTAAGTTTCTTATATATAAGTACTATATTATAAGCTATCTACTAATCTCTCTTACTTAACTACTATATCTACTTCTTAAGAGAAGTTATAGAAGACCCTTACTAGATTTATATATAGTTTTAAATAAGCGTAGCTTATATCTCTAATTCGCGCGCATTACGTAGCGTTTTTAGCTTCTATATAGTAGTCTCTTACGCTAGTAGAGTTAGCGTATATAGTATAATATTAAGCTATAATAAAATAAAGTTATAATTATATAGTAAAAGTCTAGTATCTTAAAACTCTCTATAGATATTATCTAGTATAATAGCCTTATAATAGNNNTTTTTAAACGCTAGTANNAAGGTTTCTTTACTAATATAGTAGATATAATTACGTACTAAGACTAAGATAGTATTACTATATACGCGCTTTAATAGTAAGAAGTAGCCTATATTAAGA